CGCCGGGGTTTCCCCCGCTCGGGGTCGGCGGTGGGGGGGTGGTGTTTGAGGAACCCCCCCCGGGAATCGCCACCACTGCTGGTCCAGATTTGTGGAAGCAGCAAGGAGCGTCCTTCGGGGATGGGTGGGTCAGGGAGCGGGACAGAGCTCGGTAGCTCCCTTAGCGGGTGGCGGTGGAAATCCCGCCAAGCCTGAGCACTTCTCAAGGCGGCCCGCGAAGCCTCACGCAGCGGCAGAGGGAAGATCTCTGACCTGAAGCAGCCGTGGGGATTAAAGTATCCCAGAGGATAAAATAACCCCTCTCTGGCAGGTATGCTACAGTCATCCTTGGCGAATGACAAGGAAGAAAGTCCTGGCTCTGCACATCCCTTGCAATATGGCTATCCAGTTGGTTTTTCCTTTTTTTTTTCCTTCTGATCTCTTTTTTTGAGAACAAAAAAGCTGCCTTGTTTTGCAGCAACTGATAGCATGACAAATGTTAAACTACTTTGCTTCTACAGACAAGCAATGCTCAAATTAATATCGAGCCTTCCCCACACGAAAAGTCTGAATAGTTTTGTAAGAAGGAAAATGTTTTCTGTTCAGCTCAGATATTCTCTTAGTGATGGATTTAGAACTGCTTGTGCTATAAGGTAAATAATACAATAAAATACTTTTTAAAAACGTCTGTCAGATCATTCTTTCCAGTAAGTCAAGTCATTCATTCATCTAAAGTCCAGGGAAATGCAGGGCTCTGAACCTTGATGCTCATCGACCGGTGTTTAGCAGTAAATGAAGCAAATCCCATTCTTAAATCAGAATACCAATTTTAAGCTTGACCTGATTGAATTTTAGTTGATTTGCATTAATTACAGAAAAGCCATTGTGGTAACAATACATTTTCAAACAAGCTTGGAGGGACAGTTTCTTGGCTGGCTGAAGGTAATGGAAGACCACACCGCTGCCAAAAGCAGTGCTGCTGCTGCTGCTGCAGCTCTTGTGCCTTGCATTAGTGATCACACAGCTGCTGACCTGGCTGAGAACCGTGCAGCAGGCTGAGCTGATCCCCCCCTTGGCACGCTCATTTAATCAGTAGTGTCGATGCAAGGAAATATGCAGCCTGGGCAGGATGGTGGTAAGACTGGACTGTCCCATCCATGGGCTTAAGCCACCTGGGAAACTACCCCGGAGGTTTTGAAAAATGTGAAGATAGCAAATGCCAGAAGCTCATTAAGACCAAAGGAGAATAAAATGATTATATTCCTTTTTTTCGTCATGTGTACCATCAGTATAATTTCAGAAAAGCAGACTTGAGAGTAATCATTGTTTCAAAGGCACAGCACTTCCAAAAGGACTGGCATTTTCCACTGTCTTTAGGGTCCTTATTCACTTCAGTCCTTAAGTCTCTGGTCCACAGGTGGCTTGTATATGAGCCCAAAGTTGACTTTTTCTTGTGACTTCACCAATGGCAACCGAGTCTTCTTCGTGAACACTCCCAGCAGGTCTGCACTGCGCCCTTTCATCTCACCGACGCCTCCCCGCAATCCTGTGCTGCAGCCCTGTGACGACAGATGTGGGCTATTTTTCTTTCCATGTAAGGTGCTGACTACTTTTTGTTTGGTTTCACAGGGACAGGAAATTATATATTGGGTCATAGTAGTCAATATTTGTATAGTAAAAATAGTAATTGTAAGAATGGCTCATGTAGGTATCAAAAAGCTTGTGTTAAGCCAATGTTTCCAGTGTAATCGTGGTGTCCATATGGCAGAGCTGTGGTCTCCATACACTTAGTAAAACAAAAAGCTTCAACGCTCTTCAGGCGGGCTGGCGGAGTGATGTGTTAATCTGTTCCCATTAACAAGACAGCAAATTCCCAGTTGATCATCCAATTCAAATTAAGCACATGTAATCTCATGGTGACACTCACAGTGGTGTTAACGTGATGCATACATAGAGATAGACGGGATGAAGTAAGCGTCCTCAGGAGTGCGCAGCTTCCAACATTAATGTCATTTAGGCACTCTGAATTTTAATATGGGTCATTAACACCAAACTCCTGTAATCACTGTTTTAAAGACAGAGCCTTTTAACTGTGTCAGTCTTCTGAGCACTACACCAGGGGCGTAGGGGACGTTACAGGTTTTCCAGTTCATGGCAGGATGGGGGAGTCCCATCAGACTCCACCATGGAGGTGTACTTTATCGGAGGTGGTGGTGGCTTGAAAGATGGAGGTCTGTTCATACTGAAATAGAAGAGAAAAAATCTGCTGTCACACAAAAGCCGTATAAAAAACTGTTACAAAACGTTCGCAGGAGGAGGTAGATAGAGGCTAAGTCATTATAAGAGCACCTGACATTTGCTCTTACGTGCTGCAACTTCCCTGTTTCTGTTCTACAGCTCCAGTGCACCTCCTGGTATTCATTTGGCTTTCTGGGCTCCCACCTCACAATTTTACTTTATTAGCACTTTAAAAGAACAGATCTTGGTCCTGGTGAACCATTCAAAACCCATGCAGTGATCTTTTGCTCACACTGCTCTGTGAAGGTATATTTAAAGACTCATAACTTTTTTTGGTGTCTATTTATAGGCCAAGATAAAGAAAGGTCCCATCCCAAATCAGTGAAAAAAATCAATCCCATTTTTACCTTCGATATACAGGATTTGCAGTCATGTCTCAAAAGGGTTTTCTAGAACAGTGAATGATTCATTATCACCATGATTTTTCAAACATTTTAGCAATGTTAGTAAGATTAAAAATAATTGGCTCTTAGATACTGCTTTCATCAGTAGATCTCCGAGTGTTTTAGTAGGGAATTAAACTTTGGTAATAATTACAAACTCAGTGCTTATTTGACTGGGATTAAGTTTCAGGTAGCCTACTTTCACATATATTATTCACAACTCAAATAAAGTTGCCCTAGAAGTACAATTTCATTAAAACGTGTCCGCAAGTAACCATGCAAAATGAGAGAGCAAAAGCAGCTGGCAGGGAGGCTAATAGAAGTGGGGGGCTCTGGGGAAAAAAATTGACTTGTATTCTTCCCTCACACCCCAAAGCCGCACCACAGCTCTTTTTTTAAAGTTTATTTTATAGATAACCCACAGAACAGATGAAAGGACTGAGAACACTCCACATTTCATACTGCTGTATGAAAAAAAAAAAAAAGGCATTAGCAATCCATGTACTTAAAGGCCTTGTGCACTGTGGGTAGTCTCAAATGAAAATGTGTAAATCCAAACAGCTAAGTTTGAGTTTGTGCTGTCTTCCGTGCCACCCCTCCCGCCCCTGCGTTCCCCTCCCTAGTACTTACATCTCTTTCTGGTACTGACACCATTTCCTGATGCCTAAAGCTATTAGAAAACTGCAGAAGAGGAGCAGGACGGCTACCACTGTTGGCCAAGGGAAGCGACTGTCTTTCGCGTTCCTCACACCACCTGGAAGGGACATAGGAGATAGAGCTCAGCCGAATGCCCTCAGAGAAGAGGGAAATCTGGGCTTGCTGCCTGTGGCTCGCCGCTCCCCCCTCCAGGCACAGCGCTGGTGACTACCCAGCCCCAAATCAACACCGGACGGCCAGGTTCCCAGGCTGAGGATCCCAAACTCTGAGCATTGCAGCTCTGATTTATGGACTTAACCCACTTTTGTTCTGACTAGGTTTGCGGGCTGATTTCAGCCACCCCTCGGTTCACATGACGGGATTATTCAGGCACAGCTGGGCAAGCGTTTCATCTGAAAACCATTGGTTTTCTCTGTTCCCCCGTAAGCTTCTCTGAGAAGAGGAAGCATCTTGTGATGCAGCTGGGCACAGCTGCCTGCCCCTGCCCTCCTTCCCACCGGCTTATTTTTCATGCCACCGACACCAAATCCTGCCAAAACATCTGGCCAGGGGTGCAGCCGCCTCTTGGGGTGGGCTCTCGTTGGCGGCGCAGCATCGCAGCCTCAGCCCGGCTGCCTCTCCCCACCATGGTGCGGGGATCCCCCCAGTGCCCCCTTCTGCGCAGCCACCCTTGGGGGTGCTGGCAGCTGAAAGAGGTGCCCTCGGGGTCCCGGCTGTGGGGAGGAAGGAGAGGAAGAGCACGGTCCTCCTCCAGCTGCCGCGGAGGGTTCAGCAGTGGGCTGGGTGCCAGAGATGGCTGGAGCACAAGAGTCACTGGGCGATACCGCCTCGGTGTCACCTCCCGTTGTGCTGGTGTCGCAACCCTTTGCGAGGTTGGTCCTACCGGTACGTCACCCAGCCGGGGTCTTACCCACGGTGGCAGCCAGCGCCGCGGCCGGGCACCAAGTCCACCATGTTGCATGAGCCGTGAGTGGCCCCCGGGGCACAGGAGTGTGACCGGCCAAATTTTGCTGCTGGAAGAAAACATGCACCGGGGTGTTGCTTGTGGATGCAGGGAGAAGGCAAGAATGCCAAAAGCCTGCGACAACCCGTGGTGTGGGGACACAGCAGCCGTGACTCCTGTTTTCATCTCTTTTCCCTTTTTTTTAACTTCCCTGGTCAAATGTACATGGTGCTCCGGGTTTCATACCTCTCTGCTTTTCTTGCTTACTGCAACAGCACACTGAAAGAAGAGGATTTGTAGGATAATGTCTCACCAGTACTATTGAGCAGACTGCTGGTAGTAAAGAAATCTTTCCCTCTGGTAACTGAAATTGGCTGGTCTGTGACACTGAAGGACAGGTTACCTAAAAAGATATGGGCACATAACATTTTTCGTAACTTATTTGGTTTTTTTTTTAATGAAGGTTGTGGTTTGAAGCTACTGTTATTCACCCTGCTGAAGACTGGAAATCAAATTCCAGAATCAGGGTGTCGAAATTCACTTGGCAAGGCACCTACATTTTTGGCCTGCAAGCCAGTGTTAGACAAAAAATGTGCTTTTATCAAAATAAAGACTATTAGAAGACAGACAGACAGACTATTAGAAAACACCTATTAAGATGTTGCAGCAAGCCAGCATTGAGCTGCACAGCAGTCTGGAAGAATGATAAGCTTTTTACCTCTTTGATGGTAATGAAAAAGCTAAAGATATTAAGTGGCTTAGCAGCAACACAAAGAATCTGCCTCTGCTGTGACGGAGTGAAACCTCAGTCTCCTCTGTCAAGTACCGTGCCTGAACCACAAAAATCATCTTTCATCTGTTTGTAGACAGATATTTTCCCTTTCCTAATACAGCTAAGCTACCTATGTTTAAGATCAGAACTGCCTAAGGATACATTCCTGTTTTTTCTAGCCACCTCCATGTTCGTGTCTTCCGAAATAATAGCTAAAATATGCGACTAGACAATGGCACAGCGTTTACAGAGCTGCCACGGCACTTACGATACACCAGAGTTGTATTCTCAGAGGAGCGCGTGGCATTCCTGAGGCTTTGCAGGGATTTGGTGGTGGAATCGTTCAAATCTGTACAAAAAGAAATAATATCCTTCAATTATCTTACAAGCCTGTACGTGACTCCTCCATTAGGCTCAACTGCGGCTATTTTATATCCTTCATTTTTCTCTGATGCAAACAACAAACGAAATAACAGAGATACCTGAAAGTCTCTAGTATAATTGCTGATTTATAAATCCAAGAAAAAAAATCCACTGTTTGAATGATGTAAATGAGTAACCAGACAGAGCCAGGAAAATCTCTTTCTTAAGAGATGCCGGTTCTGACTGAAATTGAGCACTCAAGTATATATATATATATATATATATATATATATATCTGGATGGATGTATGTATGTATGCATTAAAAAGCCCTACCAAAATCAGTCCAATTTTACGGCACTCTAAAAATTTACAGAGAGTTTTGGACATTAATTCAATTAGTTCTTCTTTTCTAGTTGTTTATTAGGTTTTTAATTTTATGGGGATAAGCATGGTAGATCTGGCATTTTAAAAAGTTATATATTAAAAAAAAGGTATACACTCAGAGACCCCGCAGCGCTGTGCTTTACACAGCATGCTGCCGAGCACTACTTATTATTATTTACGTAATGGCTTGTGTTGGAGCCTCCAAGCATTGAACCGATAATGGTAATCCCTGTTGTACAAGCCCGGTGGCCCTGGGAGGGCACAGGGACACACACTGGTATGCCTCAGTGGGTACACCGGTGCCCGTGTACTCTGAAATTGCCCTCAATTACAGCTGTGGGACTGAAGACCCTTCGAGGCCGTGCCTCAGCTGGTGGTCAGGCAGGCACGGCTGTAGGGAAGCCGACAAGTGGTGCAACGCACGGTACCTCCTGCAACTAGTAGTAGAATTCAGCATGCTTTTAGCAAAATTTTTTTTTTTAGCAAAAAAACCCATCAAGCTGTGCAAGAGCGGGATTGTGAAGCATTAGAAGTTGTCACAAGGTTTCGGTCTAAATGCGTGGTTGGGGGTTATACGTGAGTAAATAAGCACCAGAGTGCTGCCAAAAATATATCCAGAAAATGGAAAGCGGCTGCTATGTTTGTGCTTCAGCCAAAAGATGACTGCCATACAAATGCAAAAGTGCATTGACAGGTCCTGCCTGTTCTGGAAGCACAAAGATAAACCAAGATGTTAAAAAAGAAAGTCACTTCTGGCTTTCTGCTGCTACCACCCCTAGGTTTTTTTTTAATTGATTTATTGATCTTTAATGAGGCTGCCTTTCAATGTTCTATTAGCCAGCCTTTATTGCCCCACATTATCTTATTATTTCATTGCTGCTCTGTGCTTTTATATAGCTTCTCCAGTAATTTATTTCATCTATAAACTAACCTCAGTACTCACTACATTTGCCTAGCAACTCTCTCAATTTTAATATTATTAAATTAAATATGCCTAATAAAACCAGGATACTCAAATGTTTTTTTGTTCCTCTTTCGCTGCTGCAAATCCTTGATGGCTTGGAAGACTCAAGCCTTTATCTTCTAACTCAGTGCAACTCAACAGGAGAATTCTTCGGTGAAGTATTGAAAAGCTGGTACAGATTACACCACCTGACTTTTGGCCTCTGCTCGGACACAACTCTTCCATGTTTAGTAGTAGTTTTGCATGGCAGTGTGATGACTATCAACTAGCAGCTGAAAATAAGCACCGCAGAGCTAATGTTCTTGGCAAAGGCGTCACAAACTGAGGACCACGTAGAGCTGAGTACCTGCTGCTGCGCTTTTTGCCAGACACTCCAGATCGCTGCAGATTTGCAACCCAACACTTGCTAAGTTGGTGCCACATTTGCACCTTGCAACACCCAAAATGGGCTTCATAATTCCCCTGTTGCAGTCCTACGAAGCAAAGGAAACGCATCATCTACTCACGAGCGGTTGTCAAACTCTCACTGAATGCTGTGGGGCTGGTATAGCTTTTCACCTCTGCAGTAGAAATCAGCGCTCCTGCTGAAAAACACACAAGCTTGTGAAAATTGCTGTAGAGGACCATATCGCTCGTTTTTCATTTCTCCCTCTTTCTTCCCAGTTTCCTCACTAACGAGGTCAAACAGTTGTAACCTACTACTTGAGGTGCTGGCTTCCCTCAGACAAGCACGACACAGCTCTGTGTCTGGTTTGAAAGTCTGTCACAAGCGAGAAACTCAAGAGGAGTTTGGTGAGATGGATGAATAATCTTTGAGAAAACACATGGGGCATTTAAGCATGCATTTTTGAATTTCAGCTGAGTTTCAGCTGAAGCTCAGTAGTTCCAAGTGCACTGGCTTGTTTCGACCTGAAGCCAGTAGGGTGATGAACAAACACACATAAATCAGCATTTAGACAGGGTTTCACCAGCTCCAATGAGACAAAACTGTTTTCCCAACTAGCAAAGAGAAGTTTTGAAGAAGTTAGTGTACAGGAGTCACACCTGCATTGCCTGGTGCCAAATGCCAACTTATTTAACATTTTCCTTTAATCTTTTTTTGAAGTGCTAAGTATTCTAGCACTTAACTAGCTATTTATCTGATATTCAAACACAGGCAGATGGTAGCTAGCAAGTAGACCTCTATTTTCCCAAGAGGACTATTTCACATCTACTAAAAAGAGTCCGTCTTTCCTAACACCTGCCTCACTTTTTGAAAAGTATCATTAAGCTATCTGAACAAATCTGAGAAGGTGAAATGTAGCTGTAACCCAGCACTCAAAGCCTGAGCATCTCTGGGCTCAGAGATGGAGCTATCGTGGAAGCTAAGCAAAGACTAGGCTGCGGTTTTAACAGCCTTGCTTCTGTCTCTCCTCCTCCTTCTCCTGCCTATATCTGTGCAATCTTCCCTTATATCAATTCCCACCTGTCTCTTGGATTTTCATTAAAAACTTGCAAAATAACAGGAACTGAACCAAAGCCCTTTTTACAATGGCAGACTTGGCATCCTGACTCGGCTGCAGCCCAAAGGGTCTGCTCAAAAAGCTGGTGGTGGCACCAGCGTGGGAACCAGCAGTGAGCCAGAGAGGAGCAGCACTAATCCACGGGTGGCACACCATGACTGCCACACGTTGAGGGCATCGGTTAAAAAGCAGTTGTTTCCTGGGCTATTTACAGAAGATAAATGGCTCAACTCCAGCTTACACTATGGCTTTGATCTCGTACCTCCTCAACCAGTGAAGGTGTATGATCCAGCGAGGAGAATCCTCTCTGTTCACATTGTATATTTGTCATGAAATTGTTGAGACAGAAGGGATTTCAGTCCACTTGGACAAGCACTTCGCTGCCCCGCTGTCAGCCAGGCTCGGCAAGCGTCTCTACTTTGCGGAAGGGGAAGGCAGCAGGAGAAGCAGCGAACTTTAATTTCAGTGCCACTGCAATCTGTGTTCTTGCCCTGGCATACCTTGATCTAGCCTCTTCATGCCCCAGGGCCTTACTCTGAGTGATTCAGCTTCCAAAAACACTCTGCTAGGGCAGGATGAAGCCTTGTGTTCAGCATCTGCCTCCAGTATTAACCCCCACACTGTCCATCGCATTTCTCCTGCATCTCTGGGTAAATACCGCTATAGGCTAATGTAGGTTACTTTAAGTGAAGGTTGCAGGATTGAATTACACAGCTTAAGGAGGACGTTCAATGCCCCACAGGTTCGTGAAATCAATAAAATCTGTTGCAATCCATCTGTTTTGTTTGGGAGAACAAGGCTGCCACAAATACCAAGGGCCAAATCCACTCTTGCCGGCTGCTGCCTCAGGGGTGGATGATTTCTGAGCCAAAGCTTTGGTGCTGCTGCGGAGGGGAAGATGGCGTTTGACAACGACTTGCCACATTGCCTCTTCCTCGTGCTGTTCTGCTGCCGAAATGGGAGCGTGTGCCGTGCGCCCTGCTGACTGCTGCCGAAAACCAGCCGGTCCTGCAGGGATCAACAGCTGGGCTTCAAAATGGAAAGAGACTTTCAAGAAAAAAGTGTTCGCGGACAGGCTGCGCTGTAAGAAAACGCACTTTGCTGGGACTGGCGGGCATCAACCCTTTATTTTGGGGTCAGAAGGTTCACAGCTTCACCTGCTCTCAATTCAGGCTGCTGCCATGCTGTCGAGTGCATGCCAGCCTCCGGTGCACGTACCTCTCCCTGGGGAGGCGAGGTTAAACCCTTCCAAGTGAGGTACCCTGCCCTCCACTGGCCTCCATGTCACCAGCCCAGAGAAGAAATCATCAAGTTGAGTCATCTGCTGTAAATATTTTGTTTATCGGGGCTTTGTATTGGTACTCCGGTGCTCTAATGTTTGGGTTGCACTTTTTCTAGCTCTAATATCATTCTATTTTTGTATGATATTTAATTAAAGAGATACAAAGAATAAGTATTGTAAAAATATATACTCGATGTCTGTTCACTTGCTGAAATTAATGCATGCATCCTAAATGGAGCATTAAATAAGATAAAATCAAGACAGCATTTTCTTATATATTTATTTTTGATCTGTGGACTTCCTAGTGTGTAATGCGCTAGGAAAAGGGCTTCAGTGGACATTAAATTGTTTGCTACAAAAAAAGCAAGGTGGTTATTGTGTTTACGTATCTTTCTCCTATGTTCTTGAAGGAACAGAGAAAATGCTTTGGCTGAATTGTTTACCTTGTGTTGTGGAAGCAGGAGCCAAGCTTGCTTGACTTGTGAAATCCGGAGAGGCCAAAGATGTCGACTGGTGCTCTAAAGACAAACAGATTACACGGTATCACATTTAGTTGATAGGGTCTTTTAAAAATAACATTAATAAATCATTAAAAAACCTGGATCAAAAAGCTTGCAGCAGCTGTTATGTAAATGCAGACTCTGCAGCAGCAATCCCGCTGTTGGAGTTCAGGTTAAATGCTCAAAACACATCCCACAAATTCAAGGGGCACTCAGAGACGGCTGCCGTTATTAACGCTGACCCTTTCCTGCGGGTTAGCTGTGTGCGTTATTTATTTATGTTTTTATACACAGGGTTCAGTTTAACTGCAGTGGGGTGGATTATGCACTCGATGGGGGTGCTCCCCCAACTAGCCAGGGACTTGCCAGAAATGGTCCTGACAACGTGCGGCAGCTGTATGAGCCCAGGGGATCACCTGCTCTTGCGGGTTTTCCTCTCAATTGCTGAAGATAGTTTTATACAGTTATCCGTACGCATGCTCTGGTAAAGCGGTGTTATATATCTTATGTCATTAATGAATGGGAAGGATGCGCTACTATTGGAAAAGTGGTGGGTTTAACTTTTCTATCACATGCACCTCTCTATCATAGTAGGACAAATTTATCCCTAGTTGTATAGGGGTTTTTATTCCATTTTATAAAAAGGCAGAAATATAATATGTGATATTCAGCATGCCATTTTACATGCTGCCCTAACATGACAGTTTTAGCGGGATTTATGTCAGATCTCTTCTTGGGCAACTTCATAGCTCACAAATTGCCACCCAGCAGCACACAGGTACCGTCAGTAGCAGAACACGCTGACCTTTCCCTGACACGACTCTGGCTCTGTGTACATGACATTTAAGCAACGGTCAAGCAGAGATCCTACATATATTGACTGAGTAATAAAGAAGTCTTTTTTTTTTTTTCCCCTTACCTGAGGTAGCCACAACAGCTGATGGAAGTGCTGAATTTCCAAGGTCTATAACAAATCAAAGCAAACACTTTTACTGTAGGGTGAGAAAGGTGTTTATTCTGCTTTAGAAAAGTGCGTGATTCAAAGGTTCAAGAGTGAGAGAGTGCATCACGCTTAATTTCCAAATAATCTTTCATTGCACAACTCAGCCAAGTAGTCCATCGAGAAACATGAAGCACCTGAGGTAACTGCGCTGTGAAATCCCTAGGGAAACAAAGGTTTGGGGGAAAAAGGTATCGGAGCCCCTGGCACCTCAATTCAAAAAAACAGAAGTGACTTACATGATTTTATCCCATACAAATAGATGCACATTATTAGCAGGCATGTTGAAATAATATATGTGACCCAGTGGTGGCACCTGCATAGCTCCATCCATGAAGCACTTCAGAAACTGCAACTCTGACAGGAAATTTCAGGAACACTTTGCACTGAAAAGTGCTGACCGAGTCCTCAAAGAGGAGGAGAGGGAGTTATTCCTTGTAATTAAAGGACTGTTAACCAGCCAGCCAAGCACAGCGGAGACACCATCCTGCCCAAGCAGCATTTACGTCCCGAGTGAGAGATGTCTCACTTTTTTTTTTTTTTTTTCCCAGGAGGTCAGGCAAAGTAGCCCCTGAGTAGGTTGGGAGGAAGGATTAAATGTCCCCAAAGGGCTCCATGAAGGAGATGATCTATGAAAGCTCACACACCCCATTAAAAAAAGATTTCTGGGAAGGCAGCCAGACGGTTCCTCTGGTCAGGCATGTTGGGAGGGCGCTGGGCACGGAGAGACCTTCTGCAGATAGGAGCTTAGTGTAAGGAGGTAACCATCAACCCTCCAGCTGCTTTCCCTTGCAAGCATTTGTCCCTCCTTTGACTGTTTGGAGTGTTGCTCTTCCGTTTGCATTTCATCTTAGCCTCGTCTGTGCTAACAGGGATTTCGTCGTATCTGGCTGACATAAAAGGACTCCTTACCAAAGGTGCAGCAGGTCTAACTAAAGACCAGGGTAGTGGGGCACGTCGAGACGTGCCCAGCTGCCAGTACGTTTCTGCAGAGTGTGCAGTGTCCATCTCCAAAGGGCTTCAGCTGAGGTGTGGAGGGAACGATTTATCTGTCTGCCATAAGCTGATAATAAGACAAACTTGCAGGGGCAGAGCACAGGTTTACCAAATTTACACAAATTAAGAAACGTCCCATCAGTTCTTTAATTAGGCAAAAGTGTTGAGGATCTTGGCTGTGGACTTAAGCAGAAGGTAGAACCATTAGTAGGGCTGTTATTTTTAATTACCAGTTCAGTGCTGAAAAAGCTATATTCAAATGCCAGCTGAAATTCAGAAATAACATTGTGCCCCTCGAGGCTGGAGTTTAATTATGCTTGGGCTTAATTATGATAGATTATACCACCAAAATATCTGTTTATTGTATTTTCTCTGAAGTCATAGCTGCAGAAGGGGGTACCTTACTACTCATCCAGAACCAAGTTTGCAAAAACATTTCTCCAACAGCTTTAGGAATTTATAGGTGCACCTCTAACATAACCCAAGTTATTTTGTTCTCTAATTTATCCTACCTTCTGAAGCCATGGTGGTAAAAGCTTTGGATGAGGTTTCATTAGACTTATTGTCTGTGAAGAAAAAAAAAAGAAAGATGAAAGCAGTTCTTAAAGGTATTAAGGCTTTTGTTATAGAGGCTGAAAATTTAGTCTGGAGTTCGTGTCATACTGTGCATTAGTATGGCACCTTCACAGAACATAGCCGAGAATTAATTTAATTCTTTCATTTCTGTCACATCTAAATATATTAACATTCTTATACAGAGTGGATCTATCTTAGCATTAGCATAGCCTGCAGGCAAGAACGTAGACTGCTTTAATTGACGGCTCTCCAATTTGAATATATTTCTACAAAACTGCAAATTGGGTGAAATGAGTCATTTTGGAGAAAAATGATCTTTTATCTCCCTTACCTCCAAAGCTATATTTCTAGAGGAGTAAGCTCTGGCTTTTGATGTGGTCTTTCTTTGTGGAAAAACACACCAATAAGCATATCCACAGCCACAAGTGAACACAGCTGAGCTGCAAGTAGTCACCACGGTACGCGAAGTACCTGTGGAGGCTGCTAAGGGGCTAGCCGTTCAGTTGCATTATCTGTGCAGCAAGGAGCATGCATAGTAAAAAAAAAAAAAAAAAGACGTGTAACTATGGATTTGCACCTGAAGAGGAGGCATGCACAAGAAGGTGCTAAAGGAGATCAGTCTGCCCTTCTCGCCGGTCACCCTGCATCCTCAGAAATGCCATAAACCTCTGCACGGCCATGTCTCCTGCTTTCACCAACTACTTAGGACAGTATTTCTCCATGCTTCCCTAATCACATAGCCAATTCTTACAGTACAGGTTATAGGAGAGTTTCTCCATTGTCCAAAATGGTTGAACTGTTTCAGGGGCCTTTTGCAGGTTTCACTGAAGATGCACAACATAGCCCTGACTCTGAGGGTTTGATTTTCCAGAGAGCTGCATTGCACATATGCAGACTTTCTGCCAGGAGCACTCAGTGAGAAGCACATGATTATAATAGCTCACTGGTGCCATGTGGCTAAGCTAGTGTATTTTTGGGTATGGGAAGTGCAGCAAATTACTGCCTAAACATACAGCAAGAATCTTATGTTTGTGCAGGAGTTTCTTAGCTCATTTAGAGGCTTAAGCAAAGACTTGAACTAAAAAACCTGTCAGAAAGTTCAAGCTGTGTGATGAACTTGTACAATAAAGCTTCCATGCTCTTGGCGTTTCTTCAGTATTTTAAATAGCAGAGAATACGTGTGTCTGGTATTCTTAATGTTTTAACATTTCAGATGCATCCTACCTATGAAAAACCTACTGAAGGAAACAAATATTTCTTCTGATGAAATATTCCGTGTTTCATTCCCGAGGAAGGAAAACAGACATGCACATGAGAATATCTTATGTGCCTGCTGGGTCCCTTGCAACACCAGTGTTGATCTCAGCTGATAGAAACCTTCACTGTCTTGCAAGTCTTCTTGTTCAACAGCAATTTCTTGGGAAAAAAAAACAAAACAAAACAAAAAGAAAAGCTGCAAGACCCTCTCATTACACTCCAAACTATAAATCAGAACTGTGCAAAATATCGGTACTGAAAAGCAAGCTCGTACGGCTGCAGGTTTCTTTGCTGAGACGCTATCAAAGATTTGGCAAGAACAGCACGGTTATGCCAAGCCATCGTTCCCACCGCTGGCAGTTGGAGGGGACTGTGGTCATGGCTGTTCGCCAGCAGTTCCCTTTGGGGAGGCCTGAAGCTCCCCTTCACCCAGATGGATGCCTACAGGCTCCCCGTGGCAGGAGCGGATGAGCAACCACCGCTTTTTTGGGAACCGCTTCTACAGCTGCGCCATTGACCTACTGACGGGTGGCATTACCTCCGGGCTGCTCCGTCAGGCTCGCTCTGTCCACGTACCACACGAGGCTTGGCTTGGGAAACACCTTCCTCACCACGCAGCTCACGTTAGGCTATGGAGCAGTAAAAGCCAGTCGTTAGCCTCTCTCATTCCTCACCCGGCTGCTGGCTTCCAAAATCCCTAATGGACAGAGCTTATTTACTCACCATCCCCCCTGGGAAGGAAACACTCGCTTCCTCTTTATTGTGTTTCTTTCCCCCCCGTTTTTCTGGTTGCAGGCACCATTGAATGAGAGCCCAGGGACACCCCCATCACCCTGGGCCAGGTTGGGGGTGACGGGGCTCCAACGTCCTCCAGCCCTGTGCTGTGGCTGGAGAGATACAGGGTGAACCTCCACCCTCCCACCTGCAGCCCAGTGCCTCAGTGACAAACACCCACACGGAGAAACACCGGAATCTGGAATGAGCATGGTGTGTGGGGGCAGAATGAGACACCTCCTGAAAGCCGTGTAAATCCTTCCTTCGTTAGGCAGATAAAGAGAAAAATCCCATGAAGAAGACTGCCTAGCACAATATGTTGATTATACAAAATTAAGATATCTTTGTAGAGGGCACGATAGGTAAGAGGTTTCCAGAAGTCACAAGGAATTCCATGCTTTAGATGCAGTAGTCCTGGCTTTATGCCAGTTGCTCTACAAATCTGTGTCTGTGCTCAATTTAATTTCTTGTCAAGCGATAGATGGGAAGGACCTCAAAATCAAGGCTGGATGAAGGGTTGGGCACTAGCAGGGTGGGAGGTCTCATCCCCATGCTGCCTGGATATTCCCAATTTCATTTACTTAGCAGCTTATGGCACTAAGAGAAATTGCCTGGTCTGTTTAAACGAAGGGAAAAAAAAAAAAAAAAGAAAAAAGCATGTGCTACTCATGCAGCACAAAGCCCTCTTGCTCCCACTTTTGAAGAAAGTGGTTCACACATTTAGTTCAAAGCAAGCTTGATGCATTGCAGCCAGCAGAAGTCAATCATTCAGTATGAAGACTGAAACTACTCAGCTGAAACTCTTTCCTTGCCGTGGCAAATAACCTCTGAACTCATAGTGTAATTGCTTTCCCCTCTTTTAACATTCAGTTATTTTTCAGGCACTTTTAGTTCATAGTATTTTTACAAATGCTTCCTATGAAAGAAATACAAATCTGACATCCAAAGTAGATTTAAGCCCTACAAGAAAGGGTGGAAAAGAGAAGGAAAGGAGTTGGTGTTTATTTGGAGGTGAAGAATGGACAGAGGCTCTTGGAAGAGTTTCTGTTGCCTGGTCCCATGACAGCAGCACCCCTTGCTCTGCTCAACAGGGCAGTGCAGACAAAAGCCTGCAACGTCCAACACCACACCTGGAAATAGGTCACGAGGAAAATTATACCAGTTTTGCAGAACCAGCTGACACATGGCTTGTCTGAAGCAGGTGGATATGGCTAATACAAGGTTCTGCCTGCCCACAAACGCTGTTTCCAAGGAAAACTGTCTTAATTTGGGATGCTCGCAGATCAAAAGCTTCAACCTGGATGGATGCAAGAGGAAGCAAAGCGCCATAGCTAGTAGCCAGAGTGGCTTGCTAGTCAGTCATATGGGCCACGAATATGTTTTATGCCAAGTATGGGCAGTGCGGCACAGCAGACCTTTAGGTTTTGGCATTACAAAGCAAGTGATAAAACAGAAGCCCCAAAACACTTGTGTAGCTCTTCAGCTCTAAAACGGGGCCCTCAGGCTTAGATCCAGTCACTCCACTGGCATCTGACTGCTCCAGCTGAGTTCTGCCTGCAGCACGACCCATCGCACCCGACACGATCATCGCCTTTCCGTCCACACGCTGGGCCACGTGGGTGCCGAGCACCGCTCCCACAGCACCCGCTCCTCCCTGGCCCCTCGGAGCAGCATCCTGGGGAGCGGGTGACCTTCTTCAGAGAGGGATTTTAAGCAGCGTGGAAAGGGCAGCCCGAGGCTGCCGGGTGGTAACCGGCAGATGGGGAGAGAAAGGGACCATCGCAGCCCCCTGCAACATCATCAGCTCCTCACAGCCTCTCAAGTCCTGCCCCGGAGCCTTCCCTAGGGCTAACACAAAACCGGATTTTGCCTACACCATGGAGAAGCACTTAGCTAGCTCCAGTTTGTGCCCACTGAAGCAGCTCGCTGCTGTGGGGATGGGAATCGGTCAGGAGAAAGGGCACGAACGGCTGACATCAACTCATTGACTTGCTCGTCGCCCTGTGAGCTCGGTCGGTTTGGAGGTCCTGGCTACGTCTGGTTCAGCTTAGCTTGCCTGGCCCTGCAGGGGTGGCTCTGTTACGGTCACGGGCATTACTCTTTGCTCCAAAATTGCTCACCTTCTGCGTGGTGCCAGCTGAGCCCTCCTGCAGCCTAACAGAGATCTCAGGGTAGGCTGGAAAGCAAACAGAAATGTATTCGTGAAATGGATACCGAAGGTCACGGTAACAGCTTCTAATAAGGCTTAACAGCCTTGTTTCGTAAAAAGAGTGGAAATTAAATCCTACATCCACCCACACACCTAGCTAGATAAAAGCTTGCACAGCTCCAATTTGAGGTCAAGGAAGTGGTTTACAACCATATATCAGCAGCTACTACCACAAAATCCATGATGTATTTCACTGCCTATCTAAACCACTCTTGGGCAGCTTTGCTGGAGAAACGAGCTGAAACCATCACGCAGTCACGGCTCCGGCAGCAGAGCCACCCTTCCCAGGCCTGCTGAAATAAAACACTCGCCAGTCGTCGGTTCCTCAGGGCATTTGCCATCTGCAAAGGCTTTAGCCATCCCCCAAAAAGTTGATTGATTTTGGGTACCAGGTATCCACACGCTGTCACCCGGACAGATGTGTGACAGTGTCACACCACAGACGTTTCCTGCCTTGCCAGAGCTCACCTTCACATCAGAGCAGCAGATCTCCGATGACCACATCCACAACAAACGGAAACAAGTGTTTGCTTTTGTTTTCACAGCATTTTGGTTCTAGGTGCGGCTGACTGTATAGGTAAAATATACCGAGTACCGTAAGCCTCTCTAAATTGGCATTTCTAAATTAGCCATTGGGATCACTGGTTTGCAGTAATATTAACTGCCTTGTTAAGTAAGGACTGTTGAAACTGTGCTAATATATAGTAAATCTCAAAAGCCTTGGATAAATTGTTCTTCTGGCCCTGTCTGAGCCTTAAAACTGGACTGGAAACAAGTGCAACCCCTGGATTACTTAGAAGATCTGTAATTTTTTCTCCTTCCAACTTAAATGTTAATCTCTACCATTAAGATACTTTTCTTTTCTGAGCTTGTTAATTGATATAGGGCCACCTCAGTTCATTACATTCCCCTCTGAGGTGAACTGCTTAAGTTTCCCTGTTGTTTTATATAACAAATCCACCAAAGACTCTCCTGTGTTCTTTTTTTAATTTCCATTTTTCTGCCTAGTGTTACTGATGGATTATGCTTGGGAGTGACCTATATTTAATTATCATGGCCTTATGGACTTTGTGTACTTTTTGGGTGGAATTTCCTTTTTTTTTTTTTTTTTCCTACTGGGGCTTGTTGGCTTTTTTTTGTGTGGATTCTTCCTGTCAGAAGATGAATGTCTTAAGATTTCGTCCTTGTTTCTGCCTTGCCAAAATTGTAGAGATGGTAGTGGGGCTAGCAGAAGACAACTGTACTTTTTCAGATGTAAGAAAAAGTCTGGTAAACTGGATCTTCTAATCTCAGCTAAAAGTTGGCTGGGAGACTAACATCTAGTCTAGTGCCTGCTCTTCCTTTTGTTTTTTTGATGAGAATGGGTGTACTTTTTCACATCTGTATTGGATGCTGTCCTCTGCTTTCTCAGAAAACATATTTGCTGGGTAACTGTTCTGGCAGGCAGCTCTCAAGCATAGCTCTCAATGATCTAATAGATCTTTTCCATTTAACATCTCAGCCCCTGTTAACAGCTTGACATTCATTTGTCTTGCTAGGATATTTACCAATGTTTTGGGTCTAGCAGAAATTCAATATTTAGTATAGTAGTTTCTGCTGCTGAGCTTTTACTCTTACAAAAAGGAGAAATCAATTTTTGGCAAAGTTAGATGTGAAAAGGCCATCCATTTTCTCAGAAACTTGTATCTAAAAGAACTCTGTTCTAGAAAAGAAATATTTTAAAGCATTTCAGTCCAAAAGTACCCTCTTAAAAAAAGCTTTCTTGATTGAATGTCTGTTTTTACTCAACCTATCAAGACTCTCAACTTCATTGAGGGACTCGTTCATGCCTTCCCCATCCTCCCCTGCCCGGCTCTCAGTCATACCTCAAAGCATCTGTGGGGAAGTGCCACTGCTGCCCCTCAGACCTGGGCTGTCTCTGCCGTGTTTAGCCCCGGAGTCTTTGTCAGAGGGATCCTGCACAGGGAGCTTTCCCCAGGCAGCACTACCTTCCTCTCCTCCTCTTCCTCCTGCCCCTTACAGCACCGTGGTGCGCTAGCTGCCTGCCCTCCCTGCCCTTCTTTCATGCCGCTCAGCCCGTGGGGTTCGATTGCGTGAGTGTTTGGGTGAGGGGGGGATGCTGGCTTGCTGAGATGGGAAAATCTCCCCAAGCCTCAGTTGGCCTCGGTTTTCTAGCTACATCCTTTTTAATGGCCAGGATGACAGATATAACCAATATAACGTGCTGTCGACAGTGTATGCGCTTACTATCATGCTCTAGATCCTGCCCTGGCTGTTCGAGGCTGGGTCTACCTGCTAGGACATAAATGTTCATTTCTTCATTCCCCGGTCAGCTTTGGCACAAGGAACAAGAGAGGTGCTGTCATCTGAAGTGGCTGTTTGTCTGTTCCCAAATGTCAACTGGAGCTTGCTGGATTATTCTGGCCACTGTCTCTGCCTGTTCTTTGCCAGCTCCTGCCCTGCCAGCCCATGGGCTGGTGCAGGGGCGGCTCTGGACCGTCTGCTCTTGGTCTCCCCTTCCGTTGCAGCACAAGAGAGGTAAATGGAGAAAAGCTGGTATGAGGCAATCGTAAGCAGTGTGCCTTTAGCAAATGGTAACAGAAAGGAGTGAGACAGCATGCGAAATAGTTATTTTACCAGCAAAATATCAGACGTGAAGAGGCTAAGGGCACAGAAACGCACTTCCTCCAAGATCTGGACTCCATTGGCCTAGGTCTGAGAGACCTTCCTCAGCACCAACGCAAACCAGCTCTCAGGGAGCCCCTCCACCTAACCCTGCCCTCAGGACACCCGTGAGGGAGGCTGACGGGGCATAGCACCCCAGTCCAAAGCCAGCCAGCACTTACTGGGAGCATCACAGGCTGTTCACCACCAAGGGCCACGGTTGCTTTCTCTTGTTTGCCTCTCTCCCCTGTTGTACAAATATGCTGATGTGGCTGCATGCACAGACAACTACGTGTGACACAGTAATTCAGAGAATAAGTCAAATAAAGCAAACTCTTGGGCTAACAGATACACAAACCAGGGCGAAAGCATCAGCAGGGATGGAGGGGAGGGAGAGTTCAAGTATGGTGGTATACTTGAACGATTACCCAGCTAACGCTGTAGCTATTTGACAAATGTTGATTTTTAAAAGCAAGACCCATGTCTGAATCATGCAAACACAAGAGAAAATTTCAGATCATTAACTTCTATTTTTATTTCTCTTGTGTCAGTGACCAACAGGTCCCAGACACAGGTTTTGCTTTTTTTTTTAATTCTTGCTGCTCCCTGTTGAATCTTTCTTTGCATTCAGAGCATTAGCCTCTCATGGCCATGCTGTCCTCGAGCCGTGGGCTTCCTTGGGCAAGCAGCTACAGTCAAGGGACAGTTGACAGACCCACTGTTTAACACCCTTTCATTTTAGGAGCATTGGAAATATGTTTTCCAGATCCACTGCTCTATAAGCAGAAAATACAGCCCAGTTTTCAGTGGACAGCATTTTTCTGCTTCAGTTGTACCTCAGCGACTGTAGTTCCCAAGCCACTAGAAGGGGAACAGAGCAAGTAACTAAAGATGGGGAAGGCTTCCAGCATGAAATGCCAGCCCACACGTTTGCGGTACATGGGCCCTGCCACTCCTGACCAGTTTGAGACTGCCAGGCAGGACGTCATTTTCAGAACCAGAGCCTTTGGCAGCAGCTGAACACCACATGCCTTCGAGGATGCGACTCTACAACGATAGTTCCAGATCACTTCAGCTGCTTAATAAATTTTGGTCATGATTTCCTAGCTGCAGACAGCACAGTAATTTTATAACTGGGGCACAGAGATCTTCATCATCAAGGTGCATACCTGTAACCCGCAAAGTGCCCACATAAGCTTACCCATTGGGGTGAGATAGTGGCAATGTGCACGCCGGTGGTGTCGATGTATGCACAATGGATCTACTATTTTTGATGCCAGAAATTGAAGGAATGCCCTCAAATTCTTTCTAAGAACTATGGGGTTATTTACTAACATTTTAACTCATTGCAGCTGAAAAAAAACCAATGTAAATATGTATATATAAAAAAACCCTGGTGTATTTTGAAAGCTGTTGCCTTCAGAACCAGGCAGGAGTGTTACCTTTCCACGTGCAAGTAAGCGGGCAGTTGGCATGAGTCCCTTACCGAATACTCTCACGGTGGTGCTGCTCTTCTGGACTCTTTCCGGGTGGTACGCCACGTGGCAGGAAAATACCTTGCCATCATCTGTGATTTTGGTGGGGAAAATCTTTAGAGTGTAGTTCAAACCCAGGCGGACTCTTTGCCCGTCCAGCATGCTGCTGTTCCTGTACACTGCAGGACAGGAGGGCTCCTTGGTCACAAGTTCCTCTCTCCTGCCATTTTCCCCCTGTGAAAAGAGCAATCCACACAATGTGTGAAGACCAGACACCCCCCCACGCCCCAAATATTTTTGTAGACCAGCTCTATTCCCGCTATGAAAAGCTTCCCTCACACCCTTAGCATTGTGTAGTAGTAAGTGGACATTTGCAACATCTATTTTTTTCCAAATACATTCTCTCCCACAACCTCAAAACCAATAGCAGTCATCATCGTACCAATAAATATGGAGTAAATAGCTGTGTCTTGTGAGTCCTGATCTCTGTAGCCTGCAGAGAGGGCAACAGAGCTGCTTTCTCACTGCAGCAATCTTTAAGTTATGCTGAACATCCCATACCTATTAAATATGACTGAAATTCCAAGAAAATCCTTGCTCTTTTAGATTTTAAATAGTGAGAACCTGATAATAATAGCTAAAAGTCATCCTCCCTTAATGTCTGTGTGCCAGCCACCCTTAGATATAGGTGCAGCCGGCATATCCTGGACATCTGTGCCTCGGTACATATCTGCAAGCTATACTCCAAATGACGCATGGTGACCCACGTGTGTCACTGTGCTGACCTTTGGGGGTTTTTTTTGCCCTTCCTCTGCTACTTTGTAGAGTGAGCTAGCGACACTAAAAAGTAGTAAGGACAAGGATGTTCCCTACAAAAACTTTAAGAATTTTCATATTAAGAATGCCCTGCAAAGGGGAGATCTAAATAGATAATGAGCTGGGTGAGATAATCACCTTTAAGAAAACCCTCAACAGTTACAGCTCCTCGGTGACAATAGATAGAAATTAAGAGGCAAAACTCAAGGACACTACTGGCTGATACTTATCTCTACATACTGAAATTAATGCTGAAAGGTTGCATTAAAACATGCATACAAATATTTACCCAGAAAGTGAGATGCAGTACAAAAATATAACGAGCTTTATATCTCACAGCAAATTGCTTAAAAATAGTTTTTATGTGGTTAGCTAGATAACTGGGTTTGCATGTCTTTGGTGTGCATCTGTGACACAGAGGTTAACAAAACCAAAAACATTAGAGTCAGCCCCCCTTTTTTTTTCTATTTCAAGGCGGCCTGATATCTCACTACCTTATGCTGTAACCGTGTACTTTTCAGAGATACTAAAGCTTCACTACAGCAAAAATCCCTAAGAAATCCAACACAAGGAATATTTCAGTTCTGTTACATTTGCTAAGTTTTTTGCCACTTTCCACGGACCTGCTCAACATGTACTCCTGAAAAAATAAAAACAATTAAGATGGAATTTCCCCTCTTTGTTTCTTCCACAGCTATTGTTTGTGGTGTCTATGTTGCAAAACCATGTTTGTACTTTTTCCCTTTATTATCACAGTTCAACACGACCGATACTTTTTGTTTAGCAGATTCTGCAGGACACAGTAAAGTCCAACATTTCTATTTCAACCTGTAAAAATACCCTGTAGTTCCTTCTGAAGCTTGTACCTGAGATGAAGAACACTTACCACTAGCCACTTCAAAGGATAATTGGACAAATTTTCTGAGGTCGTGTCCTCAACGCATGGAATTTCTAAAGTCTGGTTTAACTGCACTTCCTTCACGTAGTGCTGCTCCTCTTTTATCATTGCAACAACGATGACAAAAAAAAGCCCAAGAAGGAAAATCAGAAACATGATGTTCATTCTGCTTTAAAAACCAATGCTGACTAGTCTTCTGTTCAAGGAACAGGCACTTTTTTGATTAGAAGGGAACTGTAATTTTCAACCATTACCGATAGACACTTTTGTTACGTGAAAGCCCTGCATCTGATTCTAGATGCAGTTTCATGACTCTAATTCACAGCTTTACCTGAATTTTTGGGCAATTCATACAAACCTTTGCTTAACTGCAGGATCAAGATGTCTCCTTTTGGAGCTGAGAATAATTTGAAGCTTCAATTTTTCCCTTACAATTTTCTTCTGCGGCAATAAACCTTCACATCAATTTTGCACACCTATATTTCCTTTTCTCTGAAGATAACCGCAGACCTTCTTTTCACTAAGCAAGGTGTTCAGCATGTCAAGCAGGTTAAGATTAACCCCGTTTTTCAGTGTAAATGCCCCTTTTGTTATTGTCTAACCTGCCCGCTACCAGAAGCAGAGAGCCTGTCCCTCTTTCCTTTGTTATCAATTTAAAAAAGCATTTTGGCATCTCCTACCCTACTCATTCCCCCTCCAGGGCTCTAGTCCACCTGCAGAAGGGCAAAGTGATGCAGCGAGCAGAGCACAGCCGTGGTCCGAACAGACCTGCCTTCCCTCTCCCCTGTAGGCAGGCACGAGCCCACGCTGCGGGGAAACTCTTGAACTTAGTTCCTCTGGTAGCTCTGGCTTGCGTGTTGAGATAGAATAGTTGTATATTTTACTCTTTTTTTTTTTATCTTGAGGGGCGGGAGAATATCTAGCAGTCCCAGACTGTTATGTTATTTAGCAGTGGGGACTTTCTGGTGACTGTAACTTCCTTTATGTCTGGCGCCCAAGCACGGAGTGGCAGTGCCAGCATGCAGCCTGTGCCGCAGGGACGTGACGAAAGGCAGCGCCCGGAGTGGTGCCCAGGAGACCCAGCAGCAGAAGCAGCTTGTCTCCGCTCTCCACCAGAGCAAAGCAGCCGAGGAGCCAGCGACCACGATGGGACGCAGAGTGCACAAGCCCTAAAGGGGCTGGATAGTGCAGAACAGGTTAAAGAAAGGGCAAAGGAAGCAAATCTAGAGCTTCGCTGGGAAGAAAACCATATAGGAGGCTTTGCTGGGACAAGCTGCCATGCAAAAGTGCCATGCAGCGTACGAGAAGTACGAAGATGAGTAGTCGTCCCGGGAGCTCAGCCTGCAAACGGCCTCTGCCTGTTCTCACAGTCGTGTTCTCAGAGCTGCTCTGTTTCCGCCCCCGTCTTTGATTCTCATCTCCATTAACAGCCTGTTGGCTAAGGCCCTCCATGTTTGTCAGTCCTACATAGGCCTGCTGCTCTGCAGGCTTTTTGCCGTACCTACAAGTTGACTCCGTTTGGATTCACTTTGCTTTGATGTAGTTGGGAGCTGTACTTCATTAATGACTAGGACCCTTCTCCATCCCACTTGTAGGCTGGATTAAGGTCTTTTGCCTTCTATTGAGTGGAGGTGGTTCATTGCAAAAGATCTGGTTACCTTAAAATACAAATCTGCAAGAGGTATGTTGCAAACTGCATTTTTTAATTCTCTCTAGCAAGGAGGTTATCAGTAGCACAGCTTGCTACATCATGCAGTTGCTGCAAAAAGGCACAATGATGCTGATATGAACGAGAGCTGCCCATGTTTAACATGTAGATATCAATAACGGCATTGAACATGCCAGTATCAACCAAGGGCACCAGCAAGAGAAAAGGAGCAATGCTTGATTAGCACTATTACTGTGTTAAGGAAGAGATAGAGAAAAATCGCATGAACAGAAGCATGGGAGCCTTTTACGCTGTTACCAGCACTGTTTGTACCTCACTGCTCCCCACTTGATCCAGCCCCTCTGCCCTATGAAGCACAGGAAAATTCCCAAAGGGGAGCCTACTGCAGCACACGCAGGTAAAGTGGCAGCTTCGTCCTTGACACAGTTATCCAGCATGTACTGTTTAAACACACCCATCCTCTGTGGACTGCGCAGAGACGCTGGCTCTAATTTTGCCTCTGTAAGTTCATCAGGGCAGGCAGGTGCTGCTGGGTTGCCCCTGAGGTGTGCCTCTGGGATAACACCACCAAAACGCTTGGAGCTTGAGGCCGTCAGGGAGCAAGGCAGCGGCTTGGGTTAAATGTTGCTGTGTAGGAGTCTTGCACAGGACCTCCTCCTGCTGCAGGACCAGTGGGATCCAGCATGGGGACCAACATCCCTCCTGCCACCAGTCTGGCCTCACGATGCAGGCCAAAGAGGCGGTGGGAGTTCTGCTGCCCTCTGCTCCCCCTGCCATCCCCTGCGCTCACCACGCTCCTAACCCTTGAACACGTGCTGCATCTACAGCCCCCGGCACAAGCAGGGCAAGCATGTTGGCCTTGTAGCTCTGAACTGAATCCGTGCCAGGTTTGTTGCATTTACTTCATTCTTGGCTTGTTAACAGAAACCTGGGTCAGGAAGAGGTTTCTGGTGTCAGCAAATCCAGTGCCCCATGTGCACACCAACACGCTTGCCCAATGTCCCCCCCCAGCTCCATCTTCACAGCAGTTTGGGCTTTTGCCCTCACTGCTGGCATTAAACAGATGTTCCCAAAATTGCTGCACTAATGGTTGCCACTATTGTTTAGTTTGTAGTCAAATCCATTCATGTCCATTTAAATCCGTTTGTTCCTTTGCCAGGATAATTTAAATATCCTGCCCGGAGTCCCCACTCTCCCCTGAGGCTTACTTTCCAAGAGCAGTCATGCTGTTTTCCAGCTTCCTTTTGGCTGACAGAAGCAGCCAAGTCTCCATTCCTGTGATTGTCCTAAACAATCCCCCACTTTGCTCCGGTTTATTTTTGACGGTGGGGACACACATCCCTCCACTGAGCTAACGCTCAGCACACCCTGCAGATGCCAGCCCTCAGCCTCAACCAGACAAGGGAGTTTTCTCTTTCTCATGCCCAGTGCTGCGTGCCACAGCAGCAGCACAGCGTGGTTTGGCGATCCAGCAGCCTCCATCCCACCATATCCTGAGCCGCTCATCCAGTCTTCTCCGCAGCAAGTTTCTCCAAAACAAAAATGTGGAAACCACCCATCTCACCACCTTTTTTGCCTTCCTATCTAACTTTGTATTTCTCCAGACAAACAAGGTTTCCTAATCACGAGCTGGATAACAGCAGCTACAGAGTGCCTGGTAAATAGGAAACTGTGTAGGTGGCAGCATTCAGTGGCATCATTGCAAAGCCCAAACAAGTCACCATCACCGACCAAGAACAGTTAATCTATCCTGATATTCTCCCCACCCCCACTCCCCATTACGAGAAAGCAACATCTCATTCGTAATCACTTACCTTCTGCCTTGACAAGAAGTTGAATTTTTGCAGCCTTTGTCCCACATGGGTAAGTGGCAAAACTGCACTCGTACTGCCCGCTGAGGGAGACGGTAACGTTTTTCAGGTGCAGAGCCCACCGATTGCACTCAGACTTGGCATTTGGATCACGGAAACACAAAGCCTCTGTAGCATCCCAGTCGCAGCACTTCCTCATGCTGAAGGACACTGAAAAGTTGTAAGAGGCTTCAGGAAAGGTGAAGTAGTGGGTGCCATAAACAGGGTGATAAACAGCTATTCTGGTAAGCTGGTTGTCATCGGTCTTGGACCACTGAGTCTGTATTATGTAGGTGGTGTGTCGTTTTGGGAAGCTGCACACCAGGGTCACGTCAGCACCTGGCAAAGCACGAACCACTTCTGTTTGTGTAATGACGTCTTCAGGCTGGCCTTAAAAACAAACGGGACAGTTTTCAGTGTAAGTCATGTTTAAACAAAGCTTTCTACTAAGGCATCTTTGACATGATTTGGTGCCTTAGCCATAGACAACTATGAATACCCTACAACTGTAACAACAGGCTTTCCAGTGGGGAGCTTTACAGCAGATCTCCACCAGTACAAACCATGGAAAGAGAACTGGGAGAGCAGACACACGCTTGTCTGGAAGAGGGCAGGCAGCTCCCATCACGCTCACGGGAGTGAAACGGGAGCTCCAAGGGCCTCTGTGAAAATGGAAATCTTTCAAGTGATATAAATAAAGCAGAAGCTGGGCCTGGTTATTCCCCAGCTCTTTTTGCAAGAACAAATGAGTTATCCTTGCTGGCTAATTCTGCTCTGCACTGTTCCCCCCTGCCCATTGCAATTGCCTTCGCTGCTTCAACAGAGAAAGCTGCTCTTTTACCTCCACGTTATTAAACAGATCCTGCATGGCCTAAATGAGTATCTGCTTCAGTGTCAGAGTGAGATGCCCTGGTATGTATAGTTTCTGCCTCAATTAATTTCATAAAGCATGTTGGCAGTCCTTAGCGTGCCATATAAAGGAGTAATGGATTGGTGAAATGAAGGGGCTTTCAACGGGAGCCTGTGCTGCTTGGTTTTGCTGCTGCTGTAGTAAAATTGGTTTTTCTTCCTTTCTCCCTCCTATGAACAAGATTCTCACAGTCCCCAAACCCCTATATACAGGGCACTGACAAACTCAAGGAGATGAAAAATTTATGGATGGGGGAGTCGTAGTGAGACAAGTAATCAATCACACCCACAGAGCCATACACAAAAAGACCTTTTTTCAAAAGGGTGTGCAGGAACCCAGAAAAAAAGAGTTTGTGCCAATGTTCTTAGGTAGGCACTCGTTGCCTCCCATCTCCATTGGATTTTATCCTCCCTGTGGATCAAAACACCACTGAAAATTTGTTTTGGGAACTTGCCCCGCAGCCCCACCAGCCATACCACTGACTCCTCACGGCAGCAAGTGCACACTGCTCACCTTCTTTACCTGAAAAAAGCCGGTACCAATTTCTTTGCTTTGACGTGTGTTCTGCCGTGTGGTACAGGGCTCCGGGGCGCCTGAGCCAGGGGTTGCCCTGCCAGGGGCCAGGCGGTCTCGACGGTGCCCCACGCTCTGCCGGCTCAGCCGGGAGCCAGAGAGGGACCCTGCGCACCCACAGCTCTGGTTTGACAGGGAAGAAGACCAAGGGCAGAGTCCCACGTCCCCGCAGAGCTGGCTGAGATTTAGTACCAAACCACTGAAGGGTGACACGAACACGTAGAGACTAGGTGCGTGGTGAACAAAGCTACTGAATGGCCATGGCCCACAGTCTCTGTTTTTTATTGCTGTGCATGCTCTGTTCATCTTTTAATTGACTTCCAAGAGAGGGGATGACATAAGAGGGTAAATAAAAATAAGCTTGAGTGACAAGTGCTGTGAGACAAATTACTGGAAACTATTTTTGTCGGTCCAAGGAGCTTATTATAGCAAATGCTTACTGATTTCACTGTAAGTTTTTCATCAGTAAATGTTAAGTAAAAAGCTATTAGCAATCTTGCGATCAGACTAGCAGGCAAGGGACACCTAGCAAGTTATCTCTCATACTCATACTGATACATTAGGTCAAAGGGCCATGTAAAGAATGCCTACCAAGAATTACTTGAATATTTTATTTTAAGGTGAAAAATTACATATGTAGAAACAGCATTTTAATTTGTGTTGCTTGTTAGTGGCCTGGCACTTTAGGTTACTTTAACTGAACCCTTTCATGCAAAAGTATTCTTATCTTTTAGTTAGCATCTCAACATAATTAGTCTCATTTTATGCCAACTTCATTCTTCCAAATCAAATGCTCTCCATTAGCTCATACTTGTGCTCTATTTGAAATTTAATGGAGTAACTCCCAGACATTTAGATGTCTGATCTCCACAAAGGGCATGGTGGTATGCACTTTCACCTTTGAGAGACTTCAGTGAGGATTTCATCCTTGGGGAAAAAAACCAACAATCCTATTTTTTCCTAAACAGTATTGCTTTCCTGCATGTGCGTGTCTTGAGGCTTCTAGTTCTTTCTTTGCATTTTAGAACTTTTATTTTCTATGAATACACATATGAAATATTTTCCTTTCTTTTACCATCCAGTTTGCCTCAGTGATGTAGAAAATAGGAAGAGCCTATGCCAGATTTTGAGATGCATCTTACCATGCTGATCAAATACATGAACTTTTTCCTTTCTTAACTGGAAAAAGGCTTATCCCACAAAATTCTTCTTCCTAGCTGGTAATAAGTACTCCTGCATTCAGCATGGTCAGCCTGTTGGGGGGGGGTAGGGTGGGTGGAGGGGTTTGTGAGCATCAGGCTTTTTCTTGGTTTTACTCAGATTGTTTTTGGTTTAAACTCCCTCTGATGGGGATACAGTTCTCCTTACTCAACTTTTCTGAAAGTTTTACTCCCAATGACAAAGTTGTTTCTCAAGCCTTTAATGCAGCACGTAGGGCTGGGTGGGGAAGAGGAAGGGAAGAATCTATTTAAAGGGTTGCAGCTGTACAATTTATCCTTGCCTTTAAGTGTTTCAACTCTTCCTCTCTACGTACACAGGCGTGTGTGTGTGAGAGAGAGATATTTTATTTACTCTTCGAAAGCAGTTTTTCTTTTTGCCCGTTGGAGATGAGCACATGTTGCCCTAAATACAAGTGAGCTCATCTCAGTGATTATTCTGGTGAAAACAGGTTAGGCATTTTGAATAAACTAATCTGCTAGGCGGCTCAAGCCATTTACTCCTTACTAGCTGCACATTATAACTAGGTTATTAGAAAGTTGTCGGGAAATAGAAAATCGTTACCAGTAGCTACAGCTTGCCCTAGTGAGACACACTAAGCCCAGCCTGCAGATGCCACCCTGCCCCTCGCCACCCTCCATCATAATCTGAGCCAAGGCATCCCACTGACGTGCTTACCTGCAACGCTGGGCACCGAGAGCAAACAAAAGAGGGAGAAGAGCCACCTCTTTTCCATCTTCACTGGATGAAGTTTTGGTAAATACGTAGCTCTCTTGGCCTGCTCTCGGCAGTGTCTCGGAAAAGGAAGTTGAAATGGTCTGCCCTGTGCAGACAGGCAGATGTGCAACATAGTCACGCTCATCATTTTCGCGTGACTTCAAAGAAATGCTTCATTAAATGTGAAAGCCTCAGTTTCCTGCCAGAGTGATAACATTAGTACATTTTGTGAAACCTTTATGTTGAAAATGCTACCTATACTGTAAGCCCAAGTTGAAGACCATTTTCTTTTTTCCTCTGTCTTTTCAGACAAACTCAGAGTAAGCAGTTTACTGGTTTACACTCTCTCAAAACCTTGTCAGTTATCTAAGGTTGACTATATGGTACATGATGTACAAAAAAGCTGACTTTTTTTTCCATTGCTTCATTTCCTTCACATGTTAGTCCAAAATAGCTCAAATGTACTATTTCTAGAGTCTCTACGCTCACTCTCTTTTAAAAAAACCCAGCAAAATAGCAAAACTAATCGCCCTAAATTAAAACAGAGTGAATTGAGTGTCTTCCAGATTCACCTTTTTCCCCCCCTCCTTGAGAATGAGACCATTAATTATTTTCTGCAGGATGAAGAATTACAGCATCACACGTGACAACATCCCCTGGTGTGGTTAACCCCCATACCTCACTCCGTTCAGCTGGTAGCTTTGGCAATGGCAGCACCCTCAGGCAGAAGCGCGTGGTTCCTGCCAGTCCTGTGACCTGTCTTCATTGCAGGTCACCTGTAAATCCTTCCAAACTGTCTTTGAAGCACACTGTGTTTCCATAAACTAGGCATACACCTGTTAGCAAAGCATCTCATTGCAGGCAAGTCTTACCCAAATTGGACCGGCTGTTGGTGGCTTTTCAGAAACAGATCTGAGTTCTTGCTTATCACACTTGTCTCCCCAAAACCAAAAGAGCAGGCCAGGACACCTCATGTACACAACGTGGGTGTACCTTATCTGCTGGCTCTTCCCGATGTGGGATGGGTGTTTGGAAGCGCAGCTGGGCAGGAGGTTGGTTGCCCCTAATAACTCCCTCCCCGGGGGCCCGAGGACAACCTACTCTTTGGACTTTGGGAGAGAGCTGATTACAGCCCATCCACCAGCACGGAGAAAGCGAGTGGCCTAGATGACACGGTCCCTTAAACAGGCACCCCTCTCCACCAGGACTGCCCTCCCTCGGGTGGCTGGTCCATCCTTGGGTGATCCAGGTCCTGACACATCTTTTCTGAAACAATTTCTGTGGCACCCCTCTCTGCTGCTCAGGCAAGGCCTACGGAAACTGCCAGCCACTACTTGCAATTTTCTTCCTAACTGTTTTCCATTTCCTTCTTGACTGTCTACTTTGCTGACCATGGAGGTCCCCATAGCTCCAGCGTGCGAGGCACAGAGTTCAAGGTAAAAAAGAAAGACCTCCCTGGTCATTTCCCTATTTTATGCACTACCACATGCAAACAACATCTATACTACTTCCTAATTTGTGCATATGCAAGCTTTTGGTAGCACATTTAAGCAGGCTAAGGTCTCCAGCTAGAACAGCTAATAGTGCTGCCCAGGCTGCGATCAGGCCTCCAGACACGTCTTGGAGCATAAAAGTTGCTGTGTGGTTCCTTTTTTTTTGCATTGCTCCTCTTCCTGAGGAAACACACTAAAAGGAATCGTGGTAAATGCACTGGATGCCTGGGTTACTGCTAAGGGAGTTGTCTCTGGGGATGAAATCTCTGCTTGTCACTCAGAAGCCTCACAGAGGAAGATCTGTCTCAGAGGATCAAGAAGTCCTGAAGTTGAGGGTGAACAGAATATTCAAGCCATTGTAATTGACAGCCACAGAAGGGAGTAAAAATATTAAAGATATATGCTTTTGTTTCCAGTTCAGAGCAGAGACCACAAAGAACCCAGAGATTATCTGCAGATACTAGAGTCCAAGCAAATTGGACTTCAATCTAGAATTTGGGCTTTCATTCATGAGTGCGGTTACCTTAGTTTCTCCTGCTGATCAGTTCAGGTAAGCTTTGTACCATGAGAGAATGTATTTTGTGTAACATGGGGAAAAAAACAAGTCTCAAATGAGCCTTTTTATTGATCTGAAACATACATCACAATCTGACAAGGCAGCCCAAGCGCTGTGTGGTATATTCAATAGCCACAGAAATCCCTGAGCAGCTTGTTTGAGTTACTAGATCCCTGTGTCTTGCCCTTAGAAATTGTTTCCCCCACTAAAATAACATCTTCGAAATATACTGCTGCCATGTTGCATTGTGTTGGCTGAATGCAGCCACCCAGCGTTGTTGCTGTGCTTAGTGATAAAAGGCAGACAAGAAAGAAACCTTCCAGCTCGATGGATTTTTTTTCACTTCAGAGCTGTGTTTTGCCCCACTTCCTACCGTGAGCCGAAAACCCAAAGAGGTCATTCACCTCTCTGCTGACATTGATGTGCGTGAACAGCTAAGCCCTGCCTCTGCATATGACATCAAAAACCACTCCTGAGATGTGCCACTTATCTCAGCCTACTGGCAGGGAGCCGTCTCTTCCCTGGAGCCAGACACGAGGTCCCGCTCAGTGCACGTTATTATGAGAGGTTCCTCCCTCTCCCCTTTCCCTGAAAAGTTATTCACAGGCAGCTTGGAAGGTGCCACAGTGGGATGTTACACACTAGGTTGTGGATGGCAGGGATGAAAGGAGGTACCGAATCATGCCCAGGGGCAGTGGACCTCATTGGGAGCTAAAGGGAGGACATATCTGTAATTGGCTTTTCCTTGGTGGGGCAGCTGCAGGGATGTTTGTCTCAGAGTCGGGATGCGCAGGTTTTTCCATCATGCTACACGTGCCTTTTTCGGAGAGACCCAGAAACCATTGCAAGGCTGGGAGGTTTTAAAGGAAGAGAAGCTGTGCCCAGGCAAGCGACACATGTTGTCAGGGGCTATGTGAACCACAGCATTTTCTTTTGGGCTGGACAAGCAGTTGGCCTGGCTGGTCCTGCCCTGTGTCCCAGGCGGTGGCAGGAACCGATGGGCTCTGAGCATCGCCCAGGATGGGGCCCGACAGTGCACTGCAGCACGGGGCTCTGCCCGCTGCTCAAGGACGTCTCTGCTACCTCACGCGACATTGATTTTTTTTTTTTTCCCCTTGCGTGGGAGTGGGGCTGGCAGTGGGGGATCCTCTAATTATTTTCTGCAGATCCGTTCACCCCCAGAGGAGGCATTTTGAACACTATAAATGACTCTTTCTGTAGCAATCACCCCTATTATGCGTCATGCTCACAAGCCCCTCCGCTGCAATACAATTCTTCTGCCTCAATTACAGTAAGCTGCACCTAAGGAAGAAGTAGAGCTGCAGTCAGTCCCACAGAAAAAGAAATCTTGAACTCCAGAGACAAATTCAGTTATTCACAAAGAGAGCCTTTTCAGAAATGCTAGTGCGTGAGCTCTTCCTGCCAGAGGCGAGGATGATTACCCTTGCAGACTGGTGTCCTCTAAACATTGCTTAAAGAAAGCGCTGCTCCCCAGTGAAAAAGAGATGGAGACTTTGAAGCAGGAATTTCATTAAAGAGTAAACTAACCTTTCAGGTCTGCTTGGCTCTTGGCACAGAAACTCCCACTTTGTCATTGTGTTTTGGTTTTGAACTTCTTTGAAAGCCGTACTAATGACTCTGTAGCTGGCAGGCCACTTTGGCCACGGCACCTCACGGAGGGCTGGACGAGTGGGTGGCACGGGCTGGGGGGGTCAGCGTGGCAGGGGACAGGGCTCTGAAGTGGTGGTGGGATCCCCACTGGGCTTTTTCAGTGAGCCCCTGCTTCCTCCATCTCCCCTTCCCACCTTTAGCTGTCATGCCTCTCTCCTGCTTGCAGCACTGCCTCTTCTGCACGGGGGAACAGAGAGAAGTGGGTTTCTTTCTCTGCTTCCTCCTCCTCCTCCCTCCTGGCTACCCGTGCACGTCCACATGCTGTGTTTGACACAACGCAGCCCCGGGTTCAACTGGGGTGTCTCAGCATCACAGCAAGGCGTACACGCTCCCCCTCAACAGCAATTTTTCCAGCTGAAAAACGTTCAAAGATCTGAATGGACTTTTCATCCCTACTCCCTCCCTGGCAGCTCGGAGTACGGGAGAACAGCAAGAACAGCTCGGCCTCGGCCGCTTCCCTGCTCCGGCCGGGTCTGCCCTGGTTCCAGGACTGCTCCACCGCCTTCCCCAGCTCTGCTGCAGCTGCTCCCGGCGCCAACCTTAGCAGAAGTCAAGGCGGCCCTTTCTACAAGCATTTCATTTGCCATTACGTCCTACAGACATTTTGGGGCCAAGTCCAACTGGACGACGGCTCTTTAATTACACCTTTTGCTCATCCCACTGGTAAATATTGCTTTCTTCACTTTGGAAGCAGGGAACTTGCTTTTGAGTGGCCTCGCCCGAGACTACAAGTCAAAATTAGTGGATAGGCAAGGACTACAGCCCTTAAACCCTCTCTTCCTGCTGTCTGTGGGAAAAATCTCTTTGTGACCACTCTGTTTACAAAGCCTTTCAGATAAGGCAAGAGGATGCCTTTTGGGAAAGCAGGAGGATCACAGGGAGTGACCTGGTGCTGAGTTCCTCTGTGTGCACTTCTCTGACTCTGGATTTCTGTGATGTAAGAAAGGGACTGCAAAAGCTGGCGGTAGTTTTTCTTATTAGAAGGCCTAACTTACAGCTCATGTTTCAGAGAAAGAGAGCGTACGTTTGGGGATAAATAGAAGAGAATTGGCTCCCTCACCTTCTCTGCCATTCCAGTCACAGATCCCTGTGGTCCTCTGCTCCCATTTAATGCCATTTCTGATCAATGATGGTTCATCAGGGTAAGCCGTTGAACATTACATTGTGCAAGGTGCAAGTTACTGAAAAAGCAGAGTATAAAAAGTGCAACCAATGAACAAAACAGAACAAATATAAAGCACATCGACCCAACAACTACACACCAATGAAAAACCACTGTGTGAAAGCCAGCCAGCCATTAAAAAAAAAAATTAAAGACCCTACAGAGTCGTCATTTTCAAAATGAAATGCAAGGCACATGTGAGACCAGCCCTGCTTTCTTTGGTTGCTTTCTCTTTTCCAGTTACAGCACAAACTGTGCTTTCCTCC